AAGCTAGCTAGCTTCTCGGCAATTGTACGTACATCGACTTCAAGTTAACTCGCTGGATATCAAGGAGACTCTGAACTAAGAAGTAGATTTTAGGTTATTTGTAAGTTAGTAAATTTTTTGTTTATGAAACTTTGTTTGTAATAATTACTCGTAATAGTTGCTAGTGTAAATTATACTGTCGTATATATATTAAAACGTATTTGTGTGAAAAACGAAAACGGTGTGTGTCAATCTTGTTGGCAAGTAGCGTAAATTAACTAAATATTGGCTTCGGACTATTTCAAATTCGCAATACGTGACAGTTTTTTCAATAGATGAAGCACGAACGCGATAAAAGTTATCAGTCAGAATATAAATTAAGTTTTATATTTTCTAATATTATTTTTATAGGTATTTAGATTGATGTTTGCCGAGATCACTCCTGATAAGGGTCTTAAACCTACACCAAATCTTGTATGGGTGTAAGCCAATTTTACAAGACTTTATAAAATGCGGTATGCTCTACAAAATAACAGATTTTTCCTCGTTAAATTTAAACTCGCCTTGCCTCAGTTTTTATCTTTACCTAAAGAATGCTACTGTGGGTCATGCATCGCTGTATCTATTATACATAATATCTAGCAGACATAGGCGTCCGCAGGATGGGGGCGGGCACTCCCACACCCGAAATTCAGAATAAGTTTTATTTGAATAATATATGTAAAAAATGTATTAGAAAATAATACTATTTGAATATAAACGACGAAATTAGGTTTACACAAATAAGCCCTAATAAACATCGCGTTCAAATTTCAAGGCAAATGATCTGAGCTCTACGATGGCTTGCCCCCACCTGGAATAAATTATATAGGCTCTCAAGCCAGAAGACTAATATTTCATGACGTACCTATTTGACTTGCATGTCTTTTAATAACATATATTAATATTTCGCTGCTTACACACTTTTGATGAAATAAATCAACACTTGTCCGTCCACCTAGTCTGTGAGAGTGTACGTAATAAGGCGGTGATTAGACGCTGTTGGTTAAAAAAAAAGCAGTGAAGTGGAACACGTTTAGCGCGAATTTTATGGGACGTCGTAAATATCAGTATCACAGTGGGATTAAAAGGGACTTTGACATTGGGTGAGCGGGACTATTGTTGAAGATTTATTGAAATTTACTGTTATTTTGTAGACATATACTAGTTTGAAATAAAATGCTTTATGGCATATTGCTGCATGTTTCAATATAACTTGCTGAATTTCTATACATTATAGTATATTTAAAGAATCAAATGAGTGGATAATATTTGAAAACAATTATTTTTATCATGTTTTATATATTTGTAATCTTTATACCTGAATGACGTTTTTATCTCGTTTATTGACTGGTCAACTATTATTTATAACTGAATGTTAACCACGTTATCGAAGTTCTAGTGTTTTGGATATGTATAATATTAGTAGAATATTCTGATTTCTGGCAGAGGAAGAGTGGGGTCCGCCATACAAGAAGGTAGACGGATATTATGTTACGGAGTTTGGGTCACTTGCTTTCTGAGATCTGACTGAGCTCTCAACAAAGAAAGAGTCAGCATAACAATCTTTATTCATGAAATACGCTCAAAGTAAAAACAGTAGGCAAAAAATATAACACAAGGATCGAGTGTCTTTGTGTATGTGTTGAACCAATGAGAGACAGGGAATGAAACTTTAATGTTTCTCTCACTAGTCTAAAGTCCCCCACCCCCAATGAGGTATATAAAAAAGAAAGTTATTAAAATAAAACCGCTAAATGTTAAATAAAAGTGAAACATTTGCAGAAAAATAACAGTGAAGTAAAAGCTATACAAGTTCTTATAAAACCTGTGTAGGCCTACACGAAAGACTCTATATGTAAGTCAATACGAAAAAGCTTAAGTAAAATCTTTCTGCGAGAAATCGTATTTTTAGTCCATGAAAATATCGGAACGCCTGGCAAAAAATACAACTGTTTATCTCAAGTAACGGGTGTTTTCCCTGCAAGAGAACACGCCTATCGACCAATTAGCGAATTCAAGTTTCGTGTGCAGCTAAAGAAAAACTTTGTTGTTTACTCGATCAACTCTCTGTATCGAAAATGAATTGAAAGAAAACATAAATTTCGAACAATTTTACATATTAGGGAGTATTAATCACATGTTATCAGGGCAGCATCTAATTTTTGAAGTAGAAGGATTTCCAAAAGATGTAAGATGAGGGGGTTTCATAATCCGCTCTTAAATTTAACTAATTGTTGCAAATCAACAATTGTTAACCCAAAATAATCACAACGGTCAAGTAAAGTAATCAACAATTTAATAATCAGTCATGAAGAACGTTTTCTTGCAGGAAATCGAGTACAAAAACCAATTTTTTGCAGCAAATTCTGGTGCTATTTTCCCCATTTTGAAGCAAGAAATTGTACTATTTTCCCCATTTTGAAGCAAACTTTCCTGATAAAAAGTTAAACGGTTGTTGGAAAGTCATTTAGGGCTAATGTATAATATAGCGTATTTATGCAATATTTATGCGTGTTTCAATCAAGTCAAGGTCTACGAGTAGACTACATGTTCTTTTATCTCTAGAAAAACCGGTCGTGGTAATGCAGTCAGCCAACTAATATTCTTTTACTGTCTCTATTCTCAGAAGAAAATGTCTCAAAACTTCGTATATATTTAAATGGGATTAAATATGAGTTATAATGAGGTTCAAGAGCTTCTATTGGTGACAACTTGTTATCCACCTTCTTCATTTTCACTCTTAGAATTTCCGATTTGTTTGCAATTTAAATCAAATTGTATGTGCAGTTTATATGTTGCATACTTAGTTTATAAATGTCATTACTATTCATAGATTGACAAGTTATCTAAGAAATGTACTTTTTGAGTTATTAAATGAACATGACCCCTTGTGCCTTGCAGGACCTGATGAATAGGGAGTTTAACTCGCAATCTGCGAATCGCGAGTTCTAACCCCATCACCGAAGATGCTCGCACTTTCAGCCATGGGAGCGTTATTATGTGACGGTCAATTCCACTGTTTGATTAGAGTAGCCCAAGAGTTTGCGGTGGGTGATGTTGAATAGGTGCATTCCCTCCAGTGTATCACTTCTAAATTAAGAATGTCTAGCGCAGATAGCCCTCGAGTTAATAATGTTTCTTTATCAGAACGACCCCCCCCCCCCCCCCCCGTGGATCATCAACGCAAGTTTAAAGGCGTTAATGCTAAAAACCGCGTTTCGATAACCGTGGTAGGCACAGCACAGATAGCCTATTGTGTAGCTTTGTGCTTGATAGTAAACATACAAATAAATAAATAAATTTGGGTTCGAATATTAGCCAACCAGTTTCTGATTGGGACTTTTTCTTATTTTGGAGCTAACTCCAGTCCTTCGTTAAATTATTATGTTACATGTTTAGAAAAAAAATATTAACAAAAAATAAAATAAGATAACAATTATCTCGACTACAAGTTGAAGTTTGAAGAACACATGACACCAAATAATTTAACAAGTTACTATATAGCACTGTGAGTGATGGAGCATGCGCAGTTCATTCTTATATCGGCTAGTTTGGCTTTGTATTTACGTCGAACTTAACGACGGCGTAGAAGGCAGGTGGATTCCTCACAAGGCCGTTCGAAGAAGCAGAGAAACCTAGCGTACATCAATAACTTTATAGGAACTAAGGGCAAGTATTTAGTAGTCAAGCTTTGGTTTATTATTAGACAAAAGTTTCAATTAAAAAAAAAAGTTTATACGGTTTAAGTCAAATTTTATCAGTATGATCATGATAGCTTATACTGGATAAAAAGAATTCATTCACTAACTTCAAGAAGGAGCATCATCTCGAACTATGTAAACTTTTCATTTGCCGAAGTATAATTCATGTTATGAACTTAAAAGTGTTAGTTTTCTTGCTTTATTCATTAGCACTATAATTTTTATTAGACGCTGTTGAATTTCCGAGTAATCGAAACAAAACGGTAACAGCTATAGTTTATACAAAATAATATTATTTTGAAATAATGTAAAGATCTGAAACAGCTATTTGTAGGATAATAGATTTATTTCTTATCAACGTTTCGTCTCATAACAGCGAGACATGATCACATACAATTTGCATCTTAAAAGTTAAATATTGTACATATCATGTCTCGCTGTTAGAGACGAAACGTTGTACAGAGATGAATCTGTTATTCCACAAATAGCCGTTTCAAAACTTCATATTGTTCGTGAGTACCTCTTATAAAGCAAGTAGTAAAATTATTTTAAGTATTTATTTTTCGGTTGTTATGAAAAACAATTAGCCATTAAAAATAATCTGCTCGTTTCATGAAAGGAGTAACAAATGGGTAATTAGAGCAAAAAAAAAGAAGGTATGATAAAAGATCGTTTTGTGTAATTTACAAGTACAGACGAAAGGGAAGTGTCCTTCTTCTAATTTTCCCTTGGGCATTTTTATATAACACGTGCGCTCATGGATTTATAGAACAAACTGAAAACTCTCCTCCTGGTGGTGGATAAGGAAATTAATTTATGATTGTAAGTTTAATTTCAAATGCACGACTCTCGGTGAACAGGTGAATTTATTACAGACGAATGATGCCTTTCTTTCTTCTAGATATTTTATAGTATTGATTAATTAATTTAGTGTTAGCTTGTTTAATGTATGGAAATATTTTTATTTAAATCATTACATTTTTGTAAACATTAAGTGTTGTGTGCCCTTTTTCACTTTCAAAAATCACAACAACCACAAAAAATTACACCTGACTCCACACCTTGTTGCTGCGAGTTATTCTTTATTAAAGTAAGTGGAACTTTGGGTCTTGTAGGACAACACAGGAAAATAAATCTAATATGCTATTAAGTATTAACACACAACATTTCACTGTTTAGTTTTAGACCATAAAAGTTTTGACAGATCCATTTGAATAGGGGAAAAGAGGACGTATTTACTTCTTGTTGATTTTTACCCCATGTGTCTTCGAGGCAACCCACAGTTCCCATAGTCTCCTCTACCTCCCCTTCCCCCCCAAAAAAAGCATGCTTGCCATACGATGTTTGAAAAGTGCAATTTCATCAATGAGCTTCCGTTCTTTTAATGTCCTCAGCACGGTGCTGGAGAAATGCAAATGATATGAAAATTATAGTATATTAATGTTATATATATATATATATATATATATATGTACTGCTGGTTCTCCTTATAGTTCCCCACGATTACTGGCTTCGCGATAATCTACAGATTTTTCATTCCAACAACACCACGACCTCATGCAAACTGTACTAAAATATTACTACAACACCACGACCTCAGGCAAACTGTACTAAAATATTACTACAACCACGACCTCTGGAGAAGCTATTTTCTGTTTTTCGGTTGACCATTGGATTCCTTAAAGAACAGCGAGAGTTTGTACGAGAGTTGAGTAAATACTGGATGTATGTCTAACACAGGT